ACTTGATTGACTTGTTGATAACTCACAGAACTGGTTCCCTGATCTTGAAAGTCCATTTCATCATCCCCAACAGGTTCCCCAATAGGATTACCAACCCTAGTTCTACTGGCCGATCGCGCAAGCGCAGAGCTGGGCTGTTCCTTTGAGGGTTTGATTTGGGACCTTCGAAAAGACCTCACAGAAGATGATCGTGAGCTATCTGCAATTTCATGGGCAAAACCCGGGTTTCCTCTGACAACCATCTGTTCATTACCACTCGAAGAGCTTGACAAATTAAGTGAGCTCGAAGTTCCTGACTGCATTGTCGCTCGAAGGTGCAATCAAGGTTCAATCGTACGAATGATGAGGAGGTACGCCCCACAACCCAGCAGTGAACGCACGTGGCACCAACTGAGAAGACGCGTGCCTCAACACCTGATCGATGTCCTGAAACTGTCCCTGGCGATGGAAGTGAACTCCTACCACCCCACGTCCCTGCACCGCTTGGATGACACTCCACTTGTCGTCGCAGTGCAAATGACAGGAATCTGAATTTACCGGATGCTTGTTCTGATCGGAAGTGATGAACAAATGACAAAGCTGGTTCAAAGGAATTCCTCTGTTCTGCAACTGTCGATTAAGATAGGTCACAGCAGCTTCCAACTCTCTTCGTTTTTGACCAGAATTCCTACCACCCCAACCGATATAGGAACAAATTCCAACTTGATGGTTTGGAGACCTTGCCAAAAAGGATGCAATGGCGTTAGCCGCCGATGTTCGAATCCCGTCGTATGTGCTAGCCCCAGCGACTTCACAATTCAATGTGTTATGATAGTCCAGCGACACACGAACTTCAAGGGGACGAGAAGCAACAGCTGGTGCCAATCCCGAAGGCAATGGATTTGATGGGGGAAACCGATCTGGTACAGGGGCCACTTGGTATTTCAGAACCGAAGCACTTCCAAGTAAACTCTTGGCAACTACCGCCTCACCTTTCGCCTTTACGTTACGGAGCTCTACAGGTGCGGCCTTGTATGGGAGTCCTGAACTAGAAACACTAGATCCAGCAGCTGGAATGATCTTTGCAGACTCAGCTTCGACAACAGGAGCAACCCTAGTAGATACCACTGAACTGGAAGAACCCTTTGGATCCGAACCACTTGATGGGGCCCAAGCAACCTTTGGGGATTCAACCTCCTTCGCAACAACCTTTGGTGGAGGAGGCGGAGGTGGTTGAAAGAACGACTTCCCTTTCGGGGGTGTTTTGGGAGCAACCACCGGAGCACTACTTTCCACCGATGCCCAAGGTGGAATTCCCCCTTGATCAAAAACCGTTGGGACACGTGAGGTTCCAGGCCTTGGGATTCCAACAGAAGAAACAGTGATTACAGGCCCCTTCGCCTTTGCAATTGGGACTGAAGCCACTGATGTTGTCACCCTGTGAACTAGGACCAGATGCCTTTGGTGGTGGTGGACCCGGTACAGGAACAGAAGATGGAACAGCCCCTGCTTCAAAGTCTACCCCAATGACACGACCGGCCCCTTTTGGAGGTACGAACGGATTCTTGAACCTCTTTGGAATGAACTTACCTTCCAAAAACTGAGCTTGAAGTTCTCTTTGCCTATTTACCCTCTTACCCCGCCTTTCACCACGAAACTTGAGTCTTGGCTCAGGTTCTTTCACAGGAGGCTCCTTTGGAGGGGTATCTGACATCCAAATCCCTTACACTTAACCCAAGACACTCTGTCCGGTCCGCGCAAGCGCAGGTCACCGGCAGCCAAGGAGCAAGTGGAAAAGATCCGCCACCAAGTGCCAGACAGCAACAATGGGAGCACACCCCAATGGCGAGACGAAAAGGCAACGAAGGACAAAGACAAACCAAACGAGCGAACAGACAGAGACGGGCCGAGACAAAACCCAGAGCAACTACGGCTGATAACCTAGTTTTCAAGGTTTCAGCTTAGTAGAGCCCTTTTTCTTGAGCCAAAGCAAAGCACGAGATACAAGTTTATCAAACCTAGTTGAAGGAATGATATGGACCTAATACGCAGTATGTTACAGCTGCAATGGAGAAACTAAATATCATGTCAATATTAAACAATACATCGCACACATAGATCACATAGTATCACACCTACAGCTTGGTCCAATGGATCCAAGCTCAACCAGTTCAACCAGTTCAGCCATGACAACTGCGGTGACTGCAGCGCCTCTTGGATGTCGGGCTTCAAATCCAAGAGTTCAAACATGCGCTGCCGCTGCCCAGCGCCTGGCATCACTTTGCAGCGGTGTAAATTGGGGACCTAACAGGTAACCAGGTGACCAGGTGAACCAAAGTCGCCCATGTTTGGTCCATTTTGGTCCCTGAGTTCTTGGAATTGAAAGCTCCGGACCTTGGGTATGCTGTATAGTTCATTGTTTTCTTGCACCATGGATCACCACGGTGTTTTTGTCGGCACTTGGTCACTTGGTCACTTGGCACTGGGAGGCCATGTGCAAACTCATGCACTATCCATTTGCATTCCACTAGTCACTGCGTATGGATCAGCCTGGGAGGTTTTCTTTGATGCCACTGAACGCACTGAATCAACCAACTGTATCCAAACAAGCACCAACCTCGCACAACAAAATGACATTATGTGACAATATATGATCATATGTGATATTGTAATACCTATGTTACATATTGTTAATTAATGTTAATTATAATATATATATATATCTGTCACTGAACAGACTAAAATAGAGTAAACCTTTGACAAAACATGTGAACTGTGAACCTGGATGCGTGGAGCAAACTGAGCCAGCAGGGCTCACAGCCTTCACCGGTTGATTGATGTTTTCATTCAAACTCGTGAAGGCGCTGCTGAGCCTAGCCCAAAATCTCATGCGGCCAAACCGTCAAACGGTCCTTGTTGGAAATGTGTTGCAAAATGTTGAGAACTTCTCAAGAATCAACAAGAACCAACAAGAATCAACAAACAACACCAAATGGCTTGACTAAAGGCTTCAGAAGAATATCTCAAGGTCAAAAGGTACTGGAGACAACAGGGACTGCAGAAATAATTTGCAGGAAACAGAGATTAGTTAAGTGTTGCCAATCAACTGCTCACATACATAGAGAAACAATCAGAACGACAACAAGAAGCCACTGCTATTCACTTCAAGGCCTTCTCACCTTGCTAATAAGGATAAATGTGGATAAAATAGATAGATATGCACAAACGTGCAGAGATGTACAGTCTCTGGGATACCTGCAAGGTCTTGGTGCATGGCGTTAAGATATCTGGGACTGTGACTGTGACATGCATTGCGGAGCTCACAAAGCAAAGTACTTTGCAAATAGCAGGTGCACCCGGTCCCCACTTTTGATCAAGTCGGGCATTTACTATGAATCTGTGGCAAAGTCATGCAGATTGACTTGCGCACGAGTGAATTGAAGCCTCAGGATTGACAGTGAAAGGTATCAACCCCTGTGAGGTCAGCAGAATGCACCCAGCCTGTTCCACAGGTCGGAGAAGGTGATGATGGTGCCGACATCGAACTCATGGTGTAGAGCCAAGTTGCCACCATAAAACCTCAGTCCAGCCACCGCAATAAGAAATGAATCAAAACACATGGGTACATTCAGTGTAAAATTGTACGTATGGATATGCCCGACATGAGCAAGAAAAAGTCAAGCTGCCCAGTCAAACTTTGGGTGACTTCAGAGGTCTTCGTTTGGGGGCGCTCAGTACCTGGCCCCCCTCTGACGTCCAAGGCACACAATGACGAATGAAGCACCCAGCTGCACCAATGTGGAAAGGAAGGAGGTGCCCCCCCGTCCTCATGCGCTCTTGAGACCTGCGACGGCATGACCACAGGATCTGAAAGCCTACAAGGCATTCTTTAGCATTTGACCAAGAAATGTCCATAGGTCCAAAACCAATCAACTACATCTAGGTTGTTGTGACTATATGCTCCATAAATGAATATTATATGTATCAATAATATATGGTACAAATTGATACAATGTATGCATAGACAGATATATGCAACACAGAAGGTGCATTGCATGACTGAGGCTACGATAGACTGTGTCGTTGCAGTTTGCTCGCGGCCTAATTCCATGGACTTCCGGGTGTGTCCTTCCTCAGTTGTTCGTGGCAAACATCACTGCATGTGCAAGTGCATGGCAGAGCCATTCCAATCACGATGATTGTCTGGGCAATGAATCAAAGCCCTAACACCCTGGCGAACATCAAAAAATATAATGTTGTAGGTTTCGACACATCCATGTATCGCAAGCAACCCTTCTTTTTGCTTCGCAAGAATCACTGCATCTATGCTGTGGAACTGAATTAAAATTCCGGATCCTTATCGAAACTGTTTCAAACGGAAGTCCCCAAGCGGATTGGAACAAACGGATCTTTCATACAGGCCGCCGTTTAAGCGATCCACATTTTTCTCTTTTTTGCAGTTAGTTAACCAGTAACTTTGTAGGAGTAACTTCTTTGTAGCAGCAGCAGCAGCAGCAGCAGCAGCAGTAGTAGTAGTAGTAGGAGTAGTAGTAGTAGTAGTAGGAGTAGGAGTAGGAGTAGGAGTAGGAGTAGGAGGAGTAGTAGTAGTAGTAGTAGTGGTAGTAGTAGTAGTAGTAGTGGAAGTAGTGGAAGTAGTGGTAGTAGTAGTAGTGGTAGTAGTAGTAGTTGTTGTCATTAGTAGTAGTAGTAGTAGTAGCAGTAGTAGTACTAGTGGTAGTGGTAGTGGTAGTGGTAGTGGTAGTGGTAGTCGTAGTCGTCGTAGTAGTAGTAGTAGTAGTCGTAGTCGTAGTCGTAGTCGTAGTCGTAGTCGTAGTAGTAGTAGTAGTAGCAGTAGTAGTAGTAGTAGAAGTAGTAGTAGTAGTAGTAGTAGTAGTAGTAGTACTAGTACTAGTACTAGTACTAATCGTCGTCGTCGTCATATCGCCCTTATTGAATAAATTAATTTTTACTCGTAAAACCAAAATTTTTACTCGAGAAAACAATTTTTTTAAACCAAAACGGGGAAAAAAGTGGATGCTTAAACGGCGGCCAGCTACACCGAAAATCGCAACGATGCACGGCAGCTATGATCTTGGTGCTCACGTTCCCTCGCAGTTCGTGCAACAGTGTTTTGTGCTAAGCAGGTGCGAACATCCCCATGTGAAAAAAGCCAGTCGTCTAGCAAGTTTTGGCACAGAGTCCGGGAGTATTTGCTTCTCTGCGCCTCCGCTTGGATAGCGTTGATGACTTCACATGGCCCCTGGTCCGCTGTCAACATCTCCAACTGCTGCTGCACGTTGCTCTTGCACCGATCACGTCTGAACTTCCGGGGTCTGGCTGGTTGGCCACCCTGCTCATTTTGTAAGTGATGGCAGAAAGAGCATTCACTCCCTTTCAGGCACCCATAGGGCGATCTGAAAAACAAACAGATGTTGCAAGGCAAACGTCCTGCGTAAGTCGGCAAGGACTGTAGGATCACCTCGGTTTCCGTCCAATGGCCCGAGTTGCTGGGCCCTGCAACCGATTGATCAAAGGGTTTGCTGATGGATGAGCTGGTGGCTGACTTGCCTGAAACAGGCTGTTCACCATGAACTGAACTTTCTGAAAGCACATGACACGGAAGGTCAGCGGATGGTTCGAAATGATTTGAATATCAACAATTTGACTTATCCGCCGGCCCCTGCCGCTGCCATAGCAGGGGAGGCGCCTCGAGACAGCGAAGCATCATCAGCGGCCTGTTCTCCTTCATTGGCAGGCAGTTCACGAGCTGACGGCGCGTCGCATTCGTAGCTGGCACCACCTGACGGCACGATCCGTCCGTTTCAGTGTGGCGGAACGTACGTTTTGGAAGCTTTGCAGCTGGCCTGTGAGGCTTGGCCGACGACTCGTATAGGGTTTGGCTCGCGGCCTGTTCGCCTTCATTGGCAGGCAGTTCACGAGGTGACAGCACCTCGTATTTGTAGCTGGCACCACCCGAAGGCACGATCCGTTTTGGAGGCTAGCAGCTGGCCTTTGAAGCTTGGCCGCCTCGTATAGGGTTTGGTTCTATATGCGTTTCAAAGCGAGCAAATGAGCTTCGAAGGCACGATCCGTCCCTCATCACTGCCATGCTGTTTCAGTGTGGCGAAACGTGCATTTTGGCGGCTTGTATAGCTGTGGCCTTTGAAGGTTGGCTGACGGCTCGTATATAGGGTTTGGTTCTATATGCGTTTCAAAGCGAGCAAATGAGCCACGACCAGGGGCCCTTCTAAGGCACGATCCGTCCCTCACTGCCATGCTGTTTCAGTGTGGCGAAACGTGGGTTTTGGAAGCTTGTAGCTGGCCTTTGAAGGTTGGCTGACGGCTTGTATAGGGTTTGGTTCTATATACGTTTCAAAGCGAGCAAATGAGCCACGACCAGGGGCGCTTTGAAGGCACGATCCGTCCCTCACTGCCATGCTGTTTCAGTGTTGCGAAACGTGCATTTTGGCGGCTTGTATAGCTGTGGCCTTCGAAGGTTGGCTGACGGCTCGTATATAGGGTTTGGTTCTATATGCGTGTTCAACTGTATACACACTGAATGAGCTCATTCTAA